TTTTTCAAACACAATTTTGAACGCTCATTTTTTTTTTTTTTTGAGCACTCAGTTTAAGATGTGCACATGGAGGGGTGCCTGGGTGGCTCAGTCAGTTAAGCATCCAACTCTTGATTTTGTCTTGGGTCATGATCTTGGGGTCATGAGACTGAGCTCCACATTTGGGCTCCACCCTGCCCACCAAACCTGCTTGGAATTCTCTCCCTTTCCATCTGCTCCTCCCCCCGTGCTTGCACTTGCATACATCCTCTCTCTAAGAAAAATAAATAAATGTGCACATGGAAATTAGAGATCATAGGTATCTACCCCCCCTTCAACAAGTAAATAATCATCAAAACAAACTCTCAATAAGAATTATAGACACAGCTCCTAAGGCAATCGTGTTTGTTATGTTAAGTTACAAAAGACAAACTTGAGAATTTTGGCACAGATACTAGAAGCTAAAAATAGTGTAGTAGATATGAAAAAGAACCAAATAAAAATTCCAGAACTAAAAATTACAATAATTAAAATTGAGATCTTCCTGGATGGATTTATCACCTGATTAGACGCAGAAGAAGAGAGAATCAATAAATTGGGTAATATTAAAAGAAGCTATGGATAAGGAAGCACAAAAAGGCAAAAATAAAAATAAAGATGAAAGGGTAAGTAACATGGAAAACTACTGGGATACATAATCTTTACCTCCATACATCTTAGTGAGACTATAGAAAACCAAAGACTCAGGTTAAAAGATAATGATTGTAGATTGGATTTTTAAAATATTCAAATGAATGCTGTTCACAAAGGCCACATTAAAAACACATAGATACAAAGTAGCTGAAATTGAAAGGTTGGAAAAGATATAATATATAAATACTAAACAGATACAGAGAAGTAAGATTGATATCAAGCAGTTAAACTTGAAGGCAAAAATCATAACCCCAGATAAAAAGATTTCTTCATAATGATAAAAGCTTTATTTTGCCAGTAGCATATAGAAATCTTATTTTACTTTTTTACTTTTTAGAGAGGGAGGCAGCAAGAGATGGTGAGAGAGAGAGAGAGTCTTAAACAGGCTCCACATTCAGCACAGAGCCAATGTGAGGCTCGGTTTCATGGCCCTGAGATCATGACCTGAGCCAAAATCAAGAGTCAGATGCTTTTTTTTTTTTTTTAAGAGTCAGATGCTTAACTGAGCTTCCAGGTGCCCCAGCATATAGCAATTTTAAATGTGGATTGTTTCATAGAGGACGAAACTCTTGAGGAAATAGACAAATAAGTGTAAGATTTTCAAACATACCTCTTTGAGTAATTGACCAAATGAGCCAACCAAAAATCCGTAAGAACACTCAAGTTTTGAATACATGATTATTTGATTTGACCTAATGAATAAGTATAGGAAAATGCATGCTGTTAACTAAGAGCACACATTTTTTTCAGGAAAATAAAGCATTTATACAGATTTACCCCTTTCTGACCATAAAACAATTCTCACCAATTTCAAATATTTGAAGAATGCACAGAGCATATTCTCTGACTACAGTAAAAGTTTGCTAAAAACCATTATGAGTAGGATAACTAGGAAATCTTATCTATTTAAAATGGAAGAAATACATTTCTATTTCATTGAACTGTGGAATTAGCCAAAGCAGTAGGCAGTCATTCAGTTGATAGGAAAGAAAAGAAAAGAATAAAACATTATCATGATGATCATGGTAGGGGGGAAAAAAAAGAAGCTATAGTTTGTATTAAAGAGTTTTGCAATATTGCTAGATACAAACTCAACAAACCAAAATGAATTGTACTTCTATATACCATCAACAGAAAATGAATTTAAAGATATCACATACAATAAAATGAGAAACAAAAGAATACCTAGAAATAAATCTAACAAAAGAAAGGTGAAACTTCTTTGAGAGAAAGTATAAAATTGGAGAGACTTCGGAGAAGACTCAAACAAATGGAGAGAGAAGCAGTGTTTCTGGATTGAAAAACTCCGTGTGCTAAATATGGTATGCTTTCCAGACAGCCTCTCAGTAAAAACAAACAAATAAACAAACAACAAAACCTCCCAAAACCAAAAACCCAACAGGGTTCTTTGTTTTTATTTCTTGTTGGAATTCACCAACTCATTCTAGAACTTAGATAGAAATGCAAAGCACTAAGAAAGAATAGTCAAGAAAATTATTGAAGAAGGACAAAGGAGATGAAATTATTTAACACATCAAAGGCTTATTTTAAAGCTATAGTAATTTGGCAGTGGCATTGTCCCTGGCATAGGCATGTGTAGTGTAAATGGAATGAAATAGAACAGAAATCCAGAACCATACCCATATATACTGAACACTGGACAAAGCCAACAGTGGGAGAAGAAAAGTCTTTCATTTAATAGTACTGGGGAAAACTGCATATTCATTTGGAAAATAAAATGAAACTTGGGCTATGAAAATATTTATACAACATGACATAAAGCAAAAGTCACAAAGCCAGACTGATAAACTTGCATCTGCTAAAATTAGTATCTTTTCATCAAAAGAATATGATGAAAATTCCTTTTCATCAAAAGGAATAATTCTTAATTCCTTTTCTTAGGAAAGCAAAAAGGAAAAACATACAAGAGTACAAGAAGGAAAGAAATTATCTGCAACATATATAAAGAATAAAACTCAAATCCAGTGTCAGTTAAAAAAAAAAAAAAGACTACTCAAGAAAAGAAGCACTGTGCACAAGAAGAAAAGCAAATGGTGAATAATGGATGAAAAGGTGCTCACCTTCATCAACAATAAGAACAAACTAAAACCACCATGAGATAGAGCACGAACTCGTGGGACATGCAAAAACTAGAATTTCCATGTGGCAAGTAAAAATGAGTGCGATACTTCAGAACATAACTGTGGTTTGTTTAGAAAGGTTAAACATATGCATAACAAGCCTCTATTTCTAAAGGTACTTACATATGGGTGCACTGCATCGTATATGCAAAATTAATCAGGATGGCAGCATTATTCATAATATTAAAATATTGGAAACACACAAATATCCATCAACAATAGAATGGATAAATAATACACAACAATAAAGATGAACTAGGATCACATGCAAAAGCCTGGATGGATCTTAAGAAGCATAATATTGAGAAAAAGATGTAAGTTGCAAAGAAAAAAAAGCATGGATTTATTTAAATTTTAGTTCAAAAGGAGATAAAACTAAATTATATTAGGGATGCATGTATGTCAGTAAAATTATAAATAAAACAAGAAAGTGAGGGACACCTGGGTGGCTCAGTGATTGAGCGTCTGCCTTTGGCTCAGGTTGTGATCCCGGAGTCCTGGGATCAAGTCCCACATCAGGTTACCTGCAGGGGATCTTCTTCTCCCTCTGCCTGTGTCTCTGCCTCTCTCTCTCTCTCTCTGTGTGTGTCTCTCATGAATAAATAAACAAAATCTTAAAAAAAAAAAAAGCAAGAAAGTGTAAAGTCAGGATGGCAATTGCCTCTACGAAGAAGGGGTGGTAGGCAAGGGCCACATGTAGACTTCTGGGGTTCTGGCAATGTTTTTTTCTGGTCCTGAATAATGTCTACTTTACAATAAGTTCTTGTACTACTGTATATATTTTTTTGTGTACTTTACTCTTTTTGTGTTACAGCCCATGATTAAAAAAAAGAAGAAGAAGAACAAGAGATCATATAGGAATTCTCAAGCTATATGTTGTGGGGAAAAAAGGGTGTGGAAAAGTGTAAAAATGTATCAAATACTACTATTTAGGGAAGGGGATGGAAGGGGTAGGGGCTTTAGAGGAACAAGGTCACCCAAACACCAAAACAGTGGTTGTCTCTGGGCAGAATAAATAGGTGGCCAAGAGCCAGAGTCAGAAGACTTATTCACTTTAAGACCCTTTTGCTGTGTCTTCTGAGTTTCATACCATATGAATGTATTACCTATTCAAAATAAATGAATAAAAATATCTAACAGCAAAGAAGTTTTCTGGCAACTGTAACAGACTTATCCACAAGGGGCCGCTATTCAATGATGTTTAAGTAGGTCCTCACCACGGGGAAACCTGTGTGCTCTCTGCTCTCGCCAGGAAGTGAGGAAGGTTCCTCACTTACATTCTTTTTTTTTTTTTTTTTTAAGATTTTATTTATTTATTCATGAAAGACACACAGAGAGAGGCAGAGACACAGGAAGAGAGAGAAGCAGGCTCCTCACAGGGAGCCTCACGTGGGACTCCATCCAGAGACCCCAGGATCACGCCAAAGGCAGGCGCTTAACCGCTGAGCCACCCATTCTTACTTTATTTTACGCATCATGTTCCAGGAAAAACAAAACAAAACCATCAATTCACAAATATGTACCAAAGATAAATAATATGCATGTAAAATGGGATGAAAGAAGACAAAGAAGTGCAGAGGTAATATGAATTCAGGGATGAGTTTAAAGAAGCACTCTTAATGTACAAATTAGATTCTAAGGTTTCTAGAAGCTAATGCAAAAAAAGGGAAGTGTGGTCAGTGACAAATTCAAAATCTTGCTCGGGAAAGTATTAAAATAGTTTTCCTTGGTGGTCTGTTAAAGACAATCCAAGAGGACCCTCGAGGTGTGCTTCCTGACTGGTCCTAATAACAAGAGCACATCAGTTGTGACCCAAAGTCACCTTACTGTGCAAGGGAAGTGCAAGATGCTTTGGGATTTCAGATGAGGGCAGTTGCATTCACTGTTAATCATGAATGAAAAAGGAAGTAAGAATACATGCTGTAGAAAGAGAAGAAAAGCCAAAAGCCGGTAACACTGTACTTTTACAAAATTTCCCGTCTTATACGCAAGACAGAGAGTAGATGTCTTCACTTGGCTGGATTTTTCAAAATTTGGTTATTGCAGTGAATTCTCTTTTTTACTTAAAGTTGGTACCATTGTGCTTCAGGCTACTAAGGAGTTAAATGCTGTCTTCTAAGTTCAAGGGGAATTAGCCCAGCTCAAACACTGCAGCTGGCTAGGCCGGTTCACAAAGGCAGGGCTCTGGGGAGTATAAAGGGAGGAAAGTCAGCAGCCAGGAAACAGTTTCCTTTGTGACAGGAGCTAACACAGTTATACAACAACTTTGGAAGTCATGGAGTCATCGGACATTCAAAGGAAAAAAATAGCTGTCATTGGTGGTGGCTTGGTAAGACTCTCTTTGGATATATTATTACTGTTAGTGGTTTATATCATCATTAGTCTTAATAATTATTACAAATCACTTGTTCAGATTGTTCCTCTTCTTGTGAAACTTCTCTGATATTTAAATAGATCTATTTTAAATATGATGTTTATGGATATTTGCTTTCTTCTAGGAAAGGTATTTTTATTTCCGTTAAATACAAAATTGTCTATTTTACTCTTGTCCTTTTGGTCCATTTCTTAAAAATGAAAAACAGAACAAGTTGAATTTGATTTATCCCCATGTTGGCTATGTTTTTAAACAGATATTAGTGTAAGTAGTCATTTTAATCCAAATATTTGCTTTATTTGGTGAATAACTCAGTTTATACTAATAATAGTAAGAATAAAAGCTAATGCAAAATCACTGTGTTGGATGTTCACTAGTTACTTGAGTAATTGTCACTGGACTTACTTGGCTGGTCCAATGGAGCACATAAGGTTCTGGGGTGAGGGGCTCCCCTTTCCCTGAGTATAGGAGATGAACCTGCAGAGCCTCGCCCCACACCTAGATGTGGGAGGGGTCTTTCCTCTGCTGCCATTGTATCTTACCAAAGGTGGTCTGTTTAATGTGGGGCTGCCTCAAGCAAACTGTAGGTTCCATCCTCAATAGAATTCCTATTTTGGAATAAAAATATCACCATTGGTAAAAGCTTCATCATTTTATTTTCACCTTTGCTGTACTCATTTGTAGGCTTTTAGCTCATAGGTATTCATTCATTCATTTCCTCAACAAAAATTTCTTTCTTTTTTCAACAAAAATTTCTTAAGAGTCTAATGTGTGCCAGACACTATTCAAGGCTATATAGGAAAAAAAAGGCTATATAGAGATTAGTATAGTTTATGCCACACATTTATTTATATAGTATATGCTAATTTTGTCTTTTGTTCTGCCTTCCTTATGATCTTTTCCCCCAAAGTACTATGATAATTCCTCTAACATTTCTGGTTCTAAATTTCAAAACACTAAGGAATGCTATCACATGCCGTGTTGGTCAATGCATGTGGCATATGGTGTCATTTCTTTATATTGGGCTTCCGTCCAGTTCTTTCCTATCAACATTTTGCATAAAGTGAGATTCTTGTATTCACTACAATGTTACTGCGTGCCCACTATCTGCCAACGTTGTTTTAGTTACAAGAAGTACAGTGGTGAGCATTCCAGTGAGTTGAAAGAGAACAGAGAGGGATCCCTGGGTGGCGCAGCGGTTTGACGCCTGCCTTTGGCCCAGGGCGCGATCCTGGAGACCCGGGATCGAATCCCACGTCAGGCTCCCGGTGCATGGAGCCTGCTTCTCCCTCTGCCTATGTCTCTGCCTCTCTCTCTCTCTCCCTGTGTGACTATCATAAATAAATAAAAATTTAAAAAAAAAAAAAAAAGAGAACAGAGAAGAAAACAAATAAATCATTTCAGTGTGAGATAGACATTGTAAAGAGATGCAAATAGGACAGTACTGTAAAAAGTCTTCACAGGCATTCATTTAAAGTATGGTCAGGGACATCCTCACTGAGAGGAGATGTATGACCAGAGACCTGAATAATAGAAGGAAGCACCCATGTGAAGGACTTCAGGAAGCATTCCAGGAGGAAGGAAGAGCCAGAAGAGAAACCCTGAAGTGTTCAAAGAGTAGACAGAAAGGCAGAAAGGACAAGGCTGGAGAAGGTAGTTCCTATGGCAAGAGAGCTGGGAGAGCCAGATCCTCTAGGGTCTTAGAGGGCAGAGCAAGATGATTGTATTTTACTCTGAGCAAGGACTTTAGGCAGGAAAGCGAACTGTGATTTTAAAAGATTCCTCAAGCTAGTATGTGGAGAAGGAGCAGAAAATTTTAAGACAAAATAGATCAGTTAAGACACTGTTGTGTTTGTTCAAGACTTGGACTGGAGGAGCAGCAGTGACACCCGTTAAAATGCCTCTTAGCTAAGGGGAGATAACAAATATGTGATTGCATATATGATTTTAGAAGGCATAAAAATGTGGGTATCCTCCATGGGTTTTCTCTGAGTAACACTAAAATTCTTTGTCATGAATCACTTCATTATCTGGGCACATATGTGTGCTGAAACATAGAAGAAATGTATTAGGAACAACTAAAACTTGGGGCACCTAGGTGACTCAACTGGTTGAGCATCTGACTCTTGATTTCAGCTCAAGTCATAATCTCAAGAGATCCAGCCCCTAGTTGGGCTCTGAGCTGAGTGTGGAGCCTACTTAAGATTCTCTTTCTCCTTTTCCCTGTCCCTGCTCATACACTCTCTCTCTGTGTCTATAAATAAATAAATAAATAAATAAATAAATAAATAAATAAATAAATAAAATAAAAAACAACTACAATTCCTCTGCAAAGGAATCCTATCCACCTTATTGCTCAGGCTCATGCCTAGGAATCATGTTTGATTCCTTTTTTCATTTTATGTAAACCTCCACTCCTTTTTTACTCCGCCAGTAAGCCTTGGTGACTCTATATCCAAAATTGATTTCAATTCTGGCCATTGCTACCAACCCAGTCCAGACCATCATCATCCCTCATCTGCCTCTTGTGTCATCCCTCAGCTTTGACTCTTATCCACGGACAATCCATTCTCCACATAGCAGCCACAACTGTCCTTTTAAATCATAAGTCTGGTAATTATTACTCTTTGTTAAGGCCTTCCAATGGTTTCCCATTGTGAATAAAATAAAATCCAACACTTTACCAAAGGCCCTACTTGAACGGAGCCTGTACACCTGCCCAGCTTCATCATTTTCCTGTTTTGTGTTTTTTTAATAGTATCGATCAGCACCTAAAATCACATGTATTCTTTATCTTTGAGTTTTGACCTATTGATTAAATATCTACTTCAACTAGAATACAAGCTTACATTTACGAATGTATTCCAGTGGCTGGAAACATGCCCAGCATTACTTGTTGTTATTATTTAGTTAGTATTTGATAGATGAATGAATGAGAGGGATGAAAAACTCTTTTAAAAATAGGAAAATGAAGGAAATGTCACAATGAACAAAACCCTGAATACTGATCACATTATGAGAAAAAGTATTAAATAAAGCAATTCAAGAAGGTTAAATTAAATATATAGAGGACAAATTATTTTTCTTGCCCATCTTCTTTTTTGCATCTTTTTGTTCACTTTTCCCATCCTCTTCCCACCTGTGAGCCATATCCTAGTACCTTACACTGTCTAGCATATCAAAGGCTCTCCCTGTCTCCTAAGAGGAAATTGCAACAGAGTTGAGAACTTTTCCTTTGAAGTCCAAAAGAGGGGCACCTGGGTGGCTTGGTTTTGGCTCTAGTCTTGATCTCAGGGTCATGAGCACACAATTCCCCACTTCTGAAAGCAAACTCATGCACACAAAATATGTTAGTGTGTTTGACAGTATTAGGCACTGGATAAGCTTTTTAAAAAGGAAAGGAGCAAGACTCAACGATAAGATCATTTCAAGATTTAGAAAATTAGATACCATTTATGGGGAAATAAACCATGTATATCAATGTGTGCTTACAAGTTGTGAGCAATTGAAAGAAAGACAATGTTTTCCATCAGAAGAGTGTCATAAAGAAGGTAGTCCTTGAAGGACTATCTTGAAAAAGAATCAGAAAAGCAACCTCTACCTTTCAGGCTGGAAGGAGGTCTACAAGTGTAGCTTTGTGATTCTGTAGCCTCAGGGAAGAAAAACTGCCACAGGCTACCTTGGTCCTTGGTATTCAGAAATGCTGCTTCTGATGACTGTTTGCAGTGTTTACCGGTATAGTAGAGATGACTGGAGCAGAAGGGCACTCTTTCAGTGACAACTATGGCTCTTTGAGCCCTCTTTTTTGGGGGAAAGCCAAGAGCATTAGCTGAAAGAACTACTGAGGATTCCAGGCTCGGCAGTTGCCCGCTGCTGCAGTGTGTCCACTGTGAAGTAATGAGGCCTTTCTTCTGTCTCCCCTGCCAACAAGCAACCCCACTACACATTGTTTTGTCATTCATTATTCTCTCTAACCAGAAAAATTCTCCTTGAAAAGATATTTAGAGGGCAAAGTCCTTCAAAACATCAGAATGAGGAGATTTGTGAATTTTATGATTTGTTGCCCATAATCACACCCTGTCCCCTAGTATGCGAGGCAGGTTGGTGACCTCTGTTCATGAAACGGCCTTTGAGGCAACTTAACCTTGACTCTGGGAGAGGCTGTATGTCACAGCTATAGATGTTAGATTCCCTCGAGGATTTATAGGATCAGAGTGGTCTTGATGCTGTATTGGCCCCAGACTGTGTCTCTGTCCTGTGTTCTTAGGATCTTTCCACTTCACTGCTCTCTCTTTACTCACCTGAATGGGACAAAGCAGCATCTGATAGAGGGGACTGTAATCACCTGGAAGACCAGGAAATCACTCAGACCACCAACCAGATTGCTATGTCTTTTAGTTCTAAAATTTGTCTGCCTCCTTTTCACACTGCCTTATCTACATCTCCGTCTTTGTTCTCAATCTAGTCGTTACAAAAGCAGAAATCAAATGTCACCCAGAATTTTCACTTTTGTCAAAGTAAATATCCTAGACACATATAAACCATCAAATGTCTTACACTTGCATCAAGGCCTATAGTTTCTTTTCTGAAAATATTAACAAGACAAACCATGTAAGTAGCATAATTACCAAGAGCCTTTATTCTTTTCCATATTGTATTGATATGAAAGAAAATAAAACTCTATTTTCTCCACTCTTGGTTTCTACTCCCCATGCACTGAGCACTTTATGTGAGAAACGCTCACTCCATTTCTGCACTATTATCTAGCACCTTCTACCAACAGAAGTGGAATGGATTTCTCTGTGGCTGTAGAAGTCTTCCTGAATTTGACCCATGCTAAGGACAAGTTTTGATCCCATGCTCTAGGTTTCCACAATCTCTTTTGTAATTTTCTGTGTGCTCTGATTCTTCTCATCTAGCAAGTTTATTCTAGCCACCTCCCTGATTATTTAGCT